CCATTGCCTGACCTGCCCGACAGGTCACCAGTGGGGGGTTGAGTTCTCATGTGAAGGCTGGCTCCTCAGTCAGCTCCGGACTACTTTCGACAAAATTGCCAGGAACGTGTTTGGTACTGAATTTTACCTCTTGTCTCTCATATTTTCTAGGTGAACCCTACAGAAGTAGGAAAGCAGGGGAAGAGAAAGAAGATGACAGACGCATAAAACCTGCTCTCATTGTCTGTATTGTTTTCAACAGTTGTTTTTTTTTTTACATTTTTTTTTATTGATTTCAGAGAGGAAGGGAGAGGGAGAGATAGAAACATCAATGATAAGAGAGAATCCTTGATTGGCTGGCTCCTGCATGCCCCCTACTGGGGATCGAGTCCACAGCCCAGGCATGTGCCATTGACCGGAATCGAACCCGGGACTCTTCAGTCCGCAGGCCAACACTCTATCCACTGAGCCAAACCTGCTAGGGCTCAACAGTTTGTTTTAAAACAATGATGAAATGTTTTGTTTGATGAACTGAGTTATTTTTATATAATCCTAGTTGTGAATAAAAAATGTTCAGAAGCAAGTCTGTGACTTTAGAAAATCCAGTTTGTTTGCTCTGGATCTTGGGTTTTCTTGCCTTCCTGCCCTTCTGCCTCACCCATCCCTGGTGGGGCCCAGAGGTAAGCTTGGGTTTAGCTCCAGTACTGCCTCCCCCACTCCCCGGATGTCCTCCCTGTTCTGCCAGCTGGGTCAGGCCCTTCTGTGTCCTGTGTTAACTTTCCATTGACCACATAGCCCCGGGACCTTGGAAGAGCAGGTACAGCATGGAGGGACACTGGGTGCTATATGGGCCCTACAATTCTAAGCCTCAGAACAAGTTGAAGGACAGGGCTGTTATTCCCATTTTACAGATGTGGAAGCTGAGGCTTAAAGAACTTAAGACTGCTGTCCAAAGCTTTTTCTTCCCAAGTAAAGGAAAATCAGCATTTTTGAGACAAGAGTCAGGATTTTCTATGCACAACCACAATACTGAGCAGATGTATTAGTGATTTTATGGAGAAACTAGAGGCCTGATGCATGAAATTCATGCAAAGGGCTGGGCCCTCGCAGCTGCAACTGGAAGGATGTCCAGTCTAATTAGTATATTACGCTTTTATTATTATAGAAGAGCAGTGGGAAACAAAACACCAGATTCAACTTCTAACTTTGTGGTTGGTGTAGCTGGAAGGTAGTAGGTACCTAATAAGTATTTACTGAATGAACAAACCATCGGTAATATCTTGGGCAAGTTACTTCTCTGAAGTCAGTTTCCTCAACTCAGGGGTACTTGGACTTGACCATGTAAATAGTTCATGATTTAATGTTTATATTTCTCTGCCTTTGAGAATTTAGTACTAATTAGAAACATTTTAAAAAATGTTTGTTAAATAGAAAGGTCCAAGAAAAATGGCCGATTATCTCATCATGCAGAAAACCTGGATTCATATATTTCCCTCCCTTTTACACTTTTAGATGGACACTGAGCTGTGTCTGTGGCCACTGTCTCTGTCCTTCTCCCGTCCCACCTCCCCTACTCCTTCCATTATGCCTGCCTCCACATGTCCCAGTGTGTGCATCTTGGAGGCACGTTTCTGTTGAGCAGGGCATCCTTTGTTGAGTTTTAATTGTCCAACTTGTAACTCTAAGGGAGGAAACAATGGAGCCTTCTCTCTCCACTGACACTGAGGTCGCTCAGATCGGCTATTCTTTACAGGGGGGTGGTGGCCCACGAGGCTCTGCTATCTCTGCAAACAGACTGGGGTGGGGACTTAGGCTAGGATCTCCAGCCTCAACCTTTGCAGGTGTGCAGGACAGTTTAACATTTGAAGGATAAGAGATGTTTGGTGACGTGGGGCCTACATGTGGTCGGCCACTTATTTGGTACCTAAAAAAGCAGGGCGCTACGTGGCTGAGCACAAGGGCACTGTCTCCCCATGGCCACAGTTCCTGGCACCACCTCCACCTGAACTCACAGGAGCTAAAGTTACCTGATGACTCAAGCGCCTGAGCCTCCGACTTACCAAAGGGGACAGGCATCAACGCTTCCTGTAAGTGAACCAACACCCATCCTCAAAGGACAGCCAACATTGAAGATTCAAGGGGAATTTTTTTATTCTTCTAAGTTTCAGAACTGTGAAAATTTTAAATTAAATGGACACTTATCCCTAAAAGTTTCCTCAAACCCATTACACGTTTCACTGATTTTCTCTTTTGGTTGGTGGACACAGGTGACTGATAGAGGTGCCTTTGCCGTAATGTAAAAATCTGCTTTATTAGCAGGACGGAGTCCCAATCAGGTCACAGGACCCTGTTTCTTCACATTTGTCAACTCAATTCAGTTTCATGGATGGCATTAGATTGAACCATATGAAATTCTATTTTTGTGGGTAAAAATGTTCACGTGTTGAAAATTTTATATTTAACTTTAATAGGGTGGGACACAATAATCCAGGGAAATGAATAAGCTTGTTCATGAAGAAATGTGCAAGGAATGAACTTTAGAACATCCAAATTAAAGGGATTTTTAAAAAGTCACAGTCTACAGGATATTTGATAAACTTTATTGAAATTATTTATTCCAGAAAGAAGTGGTAAGTTCTAAATGCCTATAGTACATGTTCTTCAAAAGAAATTTCACTGTGCTATTATGAACCAGGTTAATAATATTTCATATTTAGACATGAGTATTATAAAAATTAACACGGTTATATTTAAAAAGTTGAAAAAATAAAACATCTACAGCATTTTGGATATTTTAGCATTAAAAAATGTATTTAAATACCTATTTGCTGTGACAAAGAATGATGCATTGTAACAAGATAATTTTCAAGCTTTTAAACATAACTAAAACCAAATATAATTCATCCAAAAGACTAAAAAATATAAAGTGGGCATTTACTTGAAATTACAAAGATTTTTATGCAATGTGTGTGTATGAGCTTATGTATATGTGCCATTTTTTAACCTTTCTTAAGCAGACAGATTGGGCCTGAGCCTGAGGGCAGCATGGGAAGCCGCTCTGCACATCCTGGTGTTTCGTTTTCCTGGGTGCCATGTCTTCAGTTAACACTACTCGAAAGTGAAGTGCCTTGAGGACATTGTGCTAAGTCAGATAAGCCAGACAGAGAAAGGCAAATACTGTATGATCTCACTTATGTGAAAAGAAAAAAAACTCACTGAAACAGAGAACAGATTGGTAGTTGTGAGAGGCAGGGCTGGGGATGAAGGACTGGGTGAAGGTGGTCACAAGGTACGAACCTCAGGTATAAGATGACTAAGTCCTGGGGGTGGAATGTGCAGCATGGTGACTATAGTTAACAATACTGTATTATATATCTGAAAGTTGCTAAGAGAGTAGATCTCAAAAGTTGTCATCACAAGGAAAAAAATTTTTTTAACTGTGTGAAATGATGGATGTTAACTAAACTTACTGTGGTGATCATGTCTTATTATATTCATAGATTAAATCATTATGTTGTATAACTTAAGCTAACACAATGTTAAATGTCAATTATATCTCAATGAAACTGGAAAAATTGTGGTATTGCAAGAAGGAGCCAAGTGGGATGGCACTGAGCCTGCAGAGAATGGACGTTGCTTGGACCCCAGAAAAAGCATGCTCCTCAGATCTGTGTGGATTATATAAGGAGGAAGTGAGGTAGCCCTGGGAACACAGAGCCAAAGTACAAGATTTTATGAAACGGCATGCATCTTTTCATCTTATTTTAATGGCAGCAAATATAATATATAATAGAACATGACTAACATTTATCAAACATTTTTTCTCATAACTTTTTAAACCATGAAATTCCCATTTTAAATGAAAACATCAGATATTGTCAATGGAAAAACAATTTACAAAGTTCTATTTACATGTAACTTTTCCAGAGTGCACCTATTGCATAAAGTATGTGGGTTATTTCATTCATATAACAAGAATTTGCCATTTAATGATAAAGATAATTCTTATTGAAATCTCTAACAATTGCTAGTTGTTTAAAACACAAAATGTTTATTTGGTCTTTTAAATGACAGGCACCCTTATAAAATGTATTTCTTCTATACTTTAGACTTACTAGCTACAAATATATAGCACCAACATCCATTTTAATAATATCAACATTAGTAATTAATATTTTTAAAATACAAGTTCATGTAGACATACTAGAAAAAATTTGGACAAATATAAATATAAAGTTTTATAAAATGGGAAGTTAAAGCTTTAAAAAAACCCCAGCAATTTAAAAATGCCAATGTTCTTTGATTAGATCACCAGATAAGTTTAAATTGGTTGGACTACAAAATTTAAGGTCCTATACATCTTTGGTTTAAAAATCCAGACTACTTCACAATTCTAATCTATTACAAAATTTTAGAGCAATATAGAAATTCCAGAAGTTAATAAAAGGCTAAGAGGTGCCATATTTTTAAAGATCAAAGTAAACATCAGTTTTCTCCCCTGTAATTACAATGCTCGAAAGATTCTTCTATATTCAATCGGATGTTTACCTTTAAAGTCATTTATGAAGAAATTATATAATGAACTATTGTAGCTCAGAACTGGAATGGTACAAGCAAAACACTTGCTTCTTCATACTAAAGATTTTATCCATAAGTATGATATACAACTTTAGGTAAGGGCTTGTCTACCTATGTTAAAAAAACAAACTCATGGAGGAGGGGGTAACATACTAATCAATGTAATGACTCAGGATAGTGCTGCAAGGCAGCCTTGCTGAGAGTGTAACGGTAGCCTCGCCCCTGCTCCATGCGGCCCCCACCCTGCTGGAACAGTGCAGTGTCTAAAATCAAGTACGTTTCCAAAGTTGTATATGAAAAGGAGAGAGAGAGAGAGAGAGAGAGAGAGAGAGAGAGAGAGAGGGAGAGAGAGAAAAAAAAAAATCAGCAGCCTATAACTGAAAGGAAATAGTGCAAAGTCAATCTTAGGCCCCTTTAAAACATTAGATACTGATACAAAGCATCAAACACACCCTGTTAAGAAGGCTTATACCACAGTACACAGGAAGCTGCCCAGTCATTGGATAAACTGTCCACCGTAAACTGAAGGAGCAGAAAAATAATTTTTTTAAAAATTGACAACAGATCTCTCTGCTACTGTGAAATGAGATTCTCCCTTAGAAAAATCTCCCTGTAAATGGTACAGCCAGGCCTGCATTTCTGAGGCCAGGGTGACTCGGATTCCTCTGCCCCTGCTTTCGGCAGCTGTAAGACTCCGCCATCTCCGGTCCAGAGGCTGCCCCGAAACAGGGCAAGGATACAGGTCCAATCCCCCATCGCACTGGCGTTCTGGAGTCAGCTGCCCACCACAGTACACTGTTCAATTGTTCACTTTGATTCTTTGAGAGTAACAGGAAGACAACTTTTGTTATGAGAAATTACTTTTACACAATATGGACAAAAAAGTACAAGATGACAGGAAACAATAAAAACTGGGTTTATGAAGAAGAGCAGATTTCCTGTTTGGAAAATTTGTAGTGAGTGATGATTAAATACCGTTTATGGAATTCTGCACTGCATATAGGAACACTGATTTAGACGCGTGCCAGTTTCTAATTTGCTTTACAGGAACTATCAGTTTAACTGACCGTTTTGCATGCTCCTCAGACTTCACCTCCATCACATTTACTGTAAACAACAGCTTTCTTTTTCTCTTACCCTATCTAACCAAGAGTTGGCTATCTGCCTTTTACAGGAACAGAATAGCTTTCCTACTTAGATGCTTTTTACTATGGGCTTTCACAAAAATCTAATAAAGTCCACAGTATTAAAATGAAACACTGTAATCAGTGTAGACATCACTATACTCTTAAAGATACATCAGACAAGTGCAGTAACATCAGACAAGTGCAGTAACCTGGAATGCATTTCTCTCTCCTAGAGGCCTGCTTTTACTTCTAAACAGACGACTAGATTTGAGTCACCTGGTTTAAAATTCTGGCATTGTGCTTTCCTGACAGAAGCAAAAGCACAATCTCTCCAAGCTCATGTGTTCTAAAACACGGAAATCTCTCCCATCCTGGAATCAGGAGCTTTGAAGTGCTTGTACCTGTGAGGTGCACAGCAAGTCTGATATCAGCAATGTCCCTTTTTTTAACAAAGAGATTTGGTCCTTAAAATGTTTATATTAGTCTACATGTGACTTCCTACACTTTCTTATAATTGTATTTTTTTTTTAACTAAGACCCACCATAAACCACTCAATTAAGCTAAATTAAAATTGATTTTAGCAGAAAGTAGAAATAATGCTTTAAAATATAAAATGTCACCTACTATTGATTTTACAGTTTGAAACTTGTAACTTAAACTAGAAAAATATACATGTAGTTGAAAAAAAAAAAAAAAGAAAGAAAAATTTCCAGTCTTTTCCCTTCTACCCAGGAAAATTTTATATCTGATATCGCCAACATGAGTCCTGATGACCTTCAGAAGTCTTCCAAAGGTTATGCCTTGGCGGACTTACTGGTGGTCTCCTTCAACTCGTTTCTTGCGAACTATGAGAAAAATAAAGAAAGTTAGAAATCCCTGTTCACTTGTACAAACTTAACTTGCTTTTTACAAACAAGCTTCTGTAAATCCGGCGATAGTTGTACAAACATGAAATGTCCATTTCCAATCCACATGGTCATTAAAATAAAAAACTCACATCCTTTTCCTTGTCATTTACCTGCTGAGAAGTGAGGGGTTTCAGAGTGAGAACTACCTGCCCTCGCTCACCTGTGCTTACACAGCCAGAGCATCAGAAATCTAAAACAGAATGGTCAGCAATCGCATTCAAGTCCACTGTGCTGTCTCATCTGTTTACTGAAAAAGTTGATACCTCCATTAAAAATAATTAATAAATGATTGTGTTAAATTCTGAATTGACACTCAGGCAGCCACGGTTAGATAGTATAAACAATATCTGCATGCTCTTCTGATTAGGCACTACAGTACAGCTCACTTCCTTAGTCTGTGAAGAACATAGTGAAAACGGTTTTGTCATTCATTTTTTAAAAAAGATATATATTTTATTGATTTTTTACAGAGAGGAAGAGAGAGGGATAGAGAGTTAGAAACATCGATGAGAGAGAAACATCGATCAGCTGCCTCCTGCACACCTCCCACTGGGGATGTGTCCGCAACCAAGGTACCTGCCCTTGACCGGAATCGAACCTGGGACCCTACTGCTCTCCAAATTTTTCTTCTCTTTTCTCCCACAAAATGAACTGGCTCAGGGCTCTGACAAAATAAATGCAAAGTAATGAAAATCTCAGACCCTGGTAATGTGGTCAGGTCACAGCTGGCTACCATCACCTCTGGCTGTCAAAGAGGCCAGCCAACTAGCTCAGCTGATGGAGAGAAGGTGCATGTATCTGAGGACCCCCAGCCTCTTCGTGGATGGGTGGCCCTCACGCACCAGGCTGCGCTCACTAGTAGCAGGGCAAGGTCTTCAACTTCAGGATCTTGTTACTCTTACCTATCAGCCACCAGAGAGCATTTGATAAAAAGGGCAAACATTTTACTGTCATGTTGAAATCTTTTTTAATAGCTCCAAGGGGTGACTTAGAGCTGAGAGTAAAACATTATAGGAAGTATAAATGTTTATTGTAGAAAACTGTTCACCAGAAGCTGTGAAATATTATTTTCACATGAAGTTGATTTTACCCACCAACCAACCCAATAATCACTACAGCCTTCCTTAAACTGAATTCTGATTCAGTCAGTATAAAAGGACCATGCAGATATTAGAAACCTAGGCCAAGTCATCTCTGTTAAAATTTATTTTAAAAGCAAAAAAAGCTTCTCCAATACATTAGGTTAATGGCATGATTCAGAAATTCAATTTGCAATTGTATGTCTTACCTAAGTCATTGTTTTTTGTTATAGCATTAGCTGCCCTGGTTCGGGGTCCCTGCTGTGTAAACCGATATCCAAACTTAAGGATATTTGTATTTTCCTCAAGCATCTTCGCCATTTCCAATTCTACAGCTGTCCCCAACTGCTGCCTCTGGAATAATCAGAAATAATGAATAGTGTTAATAAACTAGATCAAAATACTTTTCTAGGTAAGTCAAGACTAAGACATTGAGGTATGCTGATTCTGTTGGTATTTTAAAATTTTCCCAATTCTTATAGTATACAAGGGAAACAAACATTAAAGTTCACTATAGATCATATAGACATCAAAAAATTGTGGATTTCCATAATGAGAGACCCTTCATACCCACAGGATGACTATAATAAAAGAGACAGAAAATAATAAGGGTTGGCAAGATTGCAGAAGAAAATGGGACCCTCAGACATGCTGGTCGGAATGTAAAATGATGCAGTTGCTGTAGAAAACAATCTGACATGCCCGTATGACCTAGCAATGCCACTTCTAGGTACAGACCCACATAAAATAAACACACATGTTCATACAAGAACCTGTATATATAAATGTTCACAGCAGCTTTATTCCTAATATTCAAAAAGTAGAAACAACCCAAATGTAACAATATTATTCAGCTAAAAAAAGAATAAGTACTCATATGTGCTACAACATGGATGAACCTCCAGAACATTTTGCTCAGTGAAAGGCGGCAGACACAAAAGACCACATAGTATACAATTCCATTAATATGAACTGTCTAAAATAGGCAAATGCAGAGACAGAAAATAGAGGTGGGAGGGGTGAATAGGGAATGACCGCTGGTGGGTATGGAGTTTCTTTTTTTGTTGTTGTTAAACTTTGCCCAAGGATTTTTTTCCATTGATTTTTAGAGAGAGTGGAAGGGAAAGGGGGGGGGGGGGCAGAGAGGGAGAGAAGGAAGGAGGGAGAGGGAGATGTAGAGAGACAGAGACACACGGACTGGTTGCCTCCCTCAAGAGCTTCAATCAGGGCCTGGGGTCTGGGATGGACCTGCAACCCAGGTACATGCCGTTGAGCAGTGCTCGGGCCGATGCTCTACTACTGAGCCACACAGGCCAGGGCAAATTTCTTTTTGCAATGCTAAAAATGTTCTGGAATTAGACAGTGGTGATGGTTGCATAACTCTGAATATACTAAAGACCCATACTAAAAATATCAAATTAATATTCCAGATGCCTCCAATGTCCTCTCATCCTCTTTTATGCCACCTTCCCAAATAGCTCCCTGAAAGCCCTCCTCCCACACGCCTCCTGAGTCCCCAAGCCCTGCACAGCAGTGTGGGCTGTAGCTTCCTCAAAGTTACTGCTGCAGAGCACTGACCTGATTGTCAATCTTGAGCTCGGTGAGGGTCTCATTATCTCTTAAAGCATCAATCAGTGCTAGAATCCCAGCTCCTGTGATAAAGTTGGACTCCATATTTAAACTCTTCAAATTTTTGTTCACTTTCAGCATATCTGCAAAAGCCTAGAAGTTAAAGAAAATTTTGGAGATTAAAATCTGACAATTATACACTGTACACACCATAAACAAATATACTAATTAACATAACTGCCTTAATGTTTCTCATTTGATTGAATTTGACACCTACCTCATAGGTCTCACATGTATCCACTTTGCACATGTACCCTGTCACAATCTTTTTTTTAAAGAAAACATGTTTTTATTAAGTTTTATTTTATTATTTTTTAAATATATTTTTTATTGATTTCAGAGAGAAAAGGAGAGGGAGAGAGAGATAGAAACATCAATGATGAGAGAGAATCATTGATTTGGCTGCCTTCGGCACAACCCACACTGGAGATTGAACGCACAACCTGGGCATGTGCCCTGACCGGGAATTGAACCGTGATCTCCTGGTTCATAGATTGACGCTCAACCACTGAGTCACGCTGGGCTTATTGATTTTTAGGGAAAGAGAAAAACATCGATCGGCTGCCTCCTACTCACCCGCAACTGGGGATTGAGCCCACAACCAAGGCAGGTGCCCTGATGAGGAATCGAACCAGTGACCTCGGTACATGGGGCAATGCCCAACCAACTGAGCAACACTGGACAGGGCCCTTGTCACAATATTTAGCTTTTTCTGTCACATGTAATTCTCTGTTGGAACATTCCCATTGCTAGTTAATCCTCATGCTCATCCACACCCTTTGTCATGTTTTCTCTTGTCCCTCATCCTTCTGCCAGTTTCTGTGTAGGACTGACTTCATCAATGTCTCTTTGGAATATTTTTTCCTCATTTAGGTCCTGGTGCAGCTGGATTACTGCAAAGCCAAAATGAGGGTAAATTATGGACTGATTTCCAAGGCGGAGACCAAAAAGAATGCCTAAGACAGAAGGCCAAAAGAGATCACAAATAACTAGAACTGCAAGAGCACAAAGACTATGGAGAAGAAGGGGCTCACTAAACATTCATTTCCTCAAGGAATGCTCTGTCTTCAGTCTGCTTCCTTCCCTTTCTCACAGGACATGGTAGTGCTAGGCATTTGATCCAGTGCATAATAAACACCATATTAGCCCTGGCTCAGTGGATAGAACTTCAGCCATTGGATTGAAGGGTCCTGGGTTTGATTCTGGTCAAGGGCACATGCCTAGGTTGCAGGCTTGATCTCCAGTAGGGGGTATGCAGGAGGCACCCAATCAATGATTCTCTCTCGTCATTGATGTTTCTATCTTTCTCTCCTCTCCTCTCTCAAATCCATTTAAAAATAAAAAAAATAAACACCATATTAATTTACCAACAGAAACTTGTGAGAAGAGGAAAAGGAGAGGGAAGGAAAGAGGGATAAGTTAGAATATGAGTAAGTTTATATAAAATAGCCCCTTAGAAAGGTCAAACATAAGGCCAAACTCTAGAAAACATGTGGAAGGAAGATCTAGCTTAAAGTTAACTTAAAAGAAAAGGCAATGGGGGTGGTGGTGATGGAATACTATAAAGAACTTGGGACAGCCCTAGCTGGTTTGGCTCAGTGGATAGAGCGTCGGCCTGTGGACTGAAGGGTCCCGGGTTCGATTCCGGTCAAGGGCACATGCCCGGGTTGCGGGCTCAATCCCCAGGCAGCCAATCAATGATTCTCATCACTGATGTTTCTATCTCTCTCTCCCTCTCCCTTTCTCTCAGAAATTAATAAAAATATATTTTAAAAAAATAAAGAACTTGGGACAGATTATCTATACACTGGTACTTTCTATTAGTGACAACTAGCTATGTGACTTAGAACAAAACCCTTATTCATCCTTCTGTACATACACTTATTCAAATATTATTGATGGCTTATTATTTGACAAGTACTACTACTCTGTAGATTCAGAAATAAAATATGCCTGATGGAACTTGCATTCTAGTGGGGGGCCCAAATAATAAGCAAGCAAAATGTAATATCAGATGGTAAAGAGAGCCAAAGAGGAAGAAAAAAAGAGAAAGTAGGGCAGATGGGGAGTGTGAGGGGTAGGAGTGAGGTTACTATTTTACATAGGGTGGTTAGGAAAGGTTTCGCCTAAAAGGTGACGTTTGAGCAAAGACTCAAAGTGATGAAGTGAAGCTATGTGGAACATCTTTTGCGAGGAAGTTCTAGGCAAGAGGAACAAGTGTAAAGGTCTTAAGCTGGGAACATGGGTAGCATATTTGAGGAAGAGCAAGAGGCTGCATGGCTATAGTACAATGAAAGGGCAGTAAAGAAGATGAGGCCTGCTCATGTAAGGCCTTATAAGGCCTATAAAGTATTTTGATTTTTACTTGAATGAGATAGGGAGCTTCTGGGAGTTTCTGAGCACAGGAATGAGATAATTAAATTAAGTTTTAAAAGAATCACTTTTGATATTGTGTAAGGACTTGGCTTTGGGGTGAGTAAAATGGAGCAGGCAGCTCAATTAGGAGGCTATTGCAATAATCCAGATAAGAGGAGGTAGTGGTTTACACCAGGATGGTAGTTGTGAAAATGGTGAGAAGTGGATAGAGTCTACAAGTATTCTGAAGACAGGGCTGGATACATTTAAGGTTGTAAGAAAGGAAAATCAAGGTGACTCCATTTCTTTTTCTCTTAAGCAAATGAAAGAAAGAAGTTGCTTTGGTGAAAAAGGAAAGACTGAGACAAACAGGGATGGAATGGAAGTTAGGAGTTTGCTTTGGGATTTAAATTTGAGATGTCTCTTGGACACCTAAATAAAGTTGCTAAGTAGGTAGCTGGACAAGAATATGGAGTTCAGGAGAGAGGTATGAACTGGAGATAATAACACTGGTAGCCACTAGCATTTATAGATAATATATATCAATGAAATAGAATGAAATCACCAAGAAAATGAATGTAGACAGAGAAAAGAAGAGGGCCTATGACCGAGCCCTGGGCTGTTCCAATGCTTAAAAGAGGAGAAACCAGCACAGGGATGGATAAGAGAAGGAATGTCCAGCTGAGGCAGGGGGAGAATCAAAGGGAGAGGGAGTGATGTCCTCAAAGCCAACTGAAGAAAAAGGTTCACACCATGATCAAGAGGGATTTACCCAGGACTAAAAGTTTGATTTAATATACAAAAATTAATCAATGTAATATACCATATTAATGGAATAAAGGACAAAACCACATGACCATCTCAAGAGACAAAGAAAAAGCATTTGACAAAACCCAACATTATAGATCCATAAATACAATCTTCTGCAGATAGTGAATAATTGGTGTGGAACTTTATGTACTGATATGAAAAGATCTCTTAAGACATACTGTTGAGTAAAAAATAAACTGCAGAATAGCATATATTTTATGACTCCATTTATGTTTTAAAAAATTATAGAAAGGAAATATAGGAAAAAATAAATGTAAAAGAGCAGTAGATCATGTACTGCTTAATACAGAGTTAAACATCAATTGAAAAAAGGGAGTAAATTGTGTTCATAAAAACACAGTTTAGCCATCTCTGTAACACCCTGGTATGTAGTTATAATTTTGACATTATCAATAGTTAACTTACAAACTGATGGTTGCCAGAGAGGAGGAGGGTTGGGGGTGCAGGTGAAAAAATGAAGGGATTAAGAAGTACAAATTAGTAGTTACAAAACAATCATGGGGATGTAAAATACAGCATAGAAAATGGAGTAAAATGGAGCAGGCAGCTCAATGAGGAGGCAATACCTCCTAATGTTCGGTGCCATTGTAATACCTATGTTTGGTGCCATTCCTTTCTCACAGGACATGGTGAGTTTATATAAAATAGTCCCCTAGACTTATGGGGGGGGGGGGGGGAGGGAAATCACTTTGTAAGTTATATAAATATCTAACCACTATGCTGTATACCTGAAACTAATATAATATTGAATGTCAACTGTAATTGAAAACTTTTTTAAAAATGTAAGTTACTTACAAAAGCAACAGGGTCATTGCTCCGCGTGGCTGCAAGACTTAAATATTTCACATGTGTGTTGGTTTCCAAAGCCTTTGCAAAATCTTTTAGGGTTGGAATTGGAATATTCTTGAAAGACAATAAGGCAAAACATTACATTTCAGTCCAGTAATCAAGTAAATATTTAACTTTTCTCATTAAAATGCTCTCAGGAATTACATAAACACACAATAGTCTACAAGTAAAAACAATTAATTGCTTCCTCCATATCTGTCTGACTTCTCTATCAAGGTATACCTGCACAAACTGTTGACCTAGAGCAGAGAATATATCACCATTTCTCTAGCATTTAAGTTAAAGAAGCTCTTGTGATTTTACATTTAACTGTTCATATTATAAGAAGTCAACATCTGAGTATTCAAAGTGAACCCATTTCTACAAAGAGAAAGATGTGGGAGCCCACCTCTGAGTATGATTCCTGGGGCAGATGACATACTGTTCTTACTCCCTTAGTTTAAACTACCAAGTATTAAGAGAGATTAACCCTGCTTTCCACTACTTGAAACGCGGAAAGATGTAGTTCTAGAAGGCACTAATTTCCCCTTTAGTCCCAAGACTTTAATTTCCTGTAGCCGTGTTACTTGTAGATCATTACTGTTGATTTACAGAGATACAGGAAGACAATTTTTAAGGAATGAATAAAATGAATGACCGAGTAGGGACATTAGCTTTCCCCACGTTGTTCTTTCCTCCATTCACACCCATTAATAGAGCACAGAGGTCTTATTCCCTTGGTTCTTATAATTTCCAGATGTTCCCTCTACCCCAAATTCAGATGAATCAAGATATAATACTCAAGAGAAATGAAAACATGTTCACACAAAGCATATGAATGTGAACAGTGGTTTTATTTATAATCATTCCAAAGTGGAAGCAACCCATACATCTATCAATTAATGAATGGGTAAACAAATTGCACGATATCCCAACAACAGAACACTACTCAGCAATATAAAGGAACAAACTGCTGACACAAGCAAAAACATGGATGAACCTCAAATGCATTATCCTAACTGAAAGATGCCAGGCTCTAAAGGCTACATACTGTATGATTCCATTTACACTACATTCTGGAGAAGGCAAAATGATAGGGAAAGAAAACAGATCAGTGACTGTCAGGACTAGAGCCAGGGCCATGACGACAAAAGGTGTGACATGTTCTACATCTGACTGTGCTAGTGGTTGTTCAACTGTATGGGTTTGTCAAAACTCACAGAATAATACACTGATAAACGAGAATTTTACTTTATATAAATTAGACCTCAAGAAACCTGATTAAAAACACAAAACCCAAAAGACTAAATGCTCTTAAAAGTAGGCAGTACTTTGAAAGCCAAAGAGAGGTAGTCTAGTAGGATCTACATTTCTATGTGATACTCTTTTAAAAAGCAAGTAAGATAAACACTGTATTACTTTAATTTTTAAAATATGGAAGAATCTGTGTTACCACAGTGTTAGGAGCAAACACTTCGCCTTTAAGTAGAAAGAATTATACTATATCAAAACTGCCCAGTTCTCACCCTAGAGCCACCTGACTCAGCAATTCAAAACTTACTTTGCCCGGCACACCTACCTTTATATTATTCAAATTAACTTCAACAAGACGAACATCATTTTCTTTAATTCTCTTTAAACTCTCTTCAACGTTGGTTGGATTTGGTGGCTCATCAAATACTGGGACCATCTTTTCACCCTTTACCACATCTGTGGTAACAAATGAGAAAAAACAAGTGTCTCAGTGGCTGATACTATTACAGTGGATGCATATATTAACTTGGTAACACATATCTCTCTCTCTCACACACACACACACACACACATTCAGTAGGACTAATTTAAAAGTTTTTCCCCCACAATTTCTAAATTATCCTTTGTGCACAAAAATAAAACTTTATTGAATATATAAAAAATAACTCATTTTATTTGCAAAACATCAGCCTTCAAAAATGATTATTTTCATGGCCTCTTGGTGTATTACAAAATTACCACTAAAATACATTTGATAACACACGCCAATGATCCCATTTATTTGTTGCAATGTTTAAGATAAAGTTCAAATATGATTAACTTTAACATCTCGTAAGATTTCTCTGTGATCTGCTAGTAATTACTGAAAAGGCAGTAAGAATCACAGACTTTAAGAAACAGAGCCTTGATAAGAACAACAAGGTGATGGAAGTACACAGGTCTTCTTCCCATGGGGAGTACTACACAATGGGAAAAGGGGTGGACTCTCCATTAGGAAGTAAAGTAGGAATAAGGAATGGGGAGACAGAGAGAGGTAATAGTACACAGAGGAAGTACTGAGGCAGAAATTCTAAATTCTATTTCCTTCCTTCACTCCTACCTCCAATTCTTCACCATATAAACTCTACCCATACACATGGCCAGGATACAACTATGCAAAGTTGAAAGGGGATCTAGAAGGCTTGAACTCTCTAATGACACTTAACACATTCCCCCCAGAGATATGACCATCTTGATACGCACCCTAATGTGATTTAATCACTACCTAGGAAGCATTCTGTCCAAATTTAAGACTCAAAAAACTGCACCTGAATCTGATCAAGCCTAGAGAAAATAAGTAACAGTTTACAGAAACATAGGAGACAGAGAAATTTGTAAAATGATACCACAAGGATGCAATCAGCCAAATCCAGAATGTGGGATATTCTATATATATAACAGCCCAGTTTCTTAAAAATGGCATGAAGAAAGGGGGAAAGCGGTTGAGGAGGGGAACTATTAAGAAATAAGAAAAACTGAAACCAAATGACAACCAAATGCAATTGGTGACCCGTATTTGGATCCTGATTAGAACAAACCAACTGTGAAATGATATTTTTGAGAAAATGAGAAATCTGAACACGAACTGAGTATTAGATGATAAAAAGGAATTATTGCTAATATTTAAGTTTGATAATGGTATGTTAAAAGGAAAGTCTTTGTCCAGCTGGTGTGGCTCAGTGGTTGAGTGTCGACCTATGAACCACAACGTCACGGTTTGATTCCTGGTCAGGGCACATGCCTGGGTTTCAGGCTCGATTCCCAGTAGGGGGTGTGCAGGAGGCAGCTGAGCAATGATTCTCTCTCATCATTGATGTTTTTATCTCTCTTTCCCTCTCCCTTCCTCTCTGAAATCAATTTAAAAAAATATTCTGGGGGAAGGAGGGGTGGGCAGTAAATGGGTTGAGAGGCAAACAATGGATGATATAAGGCTGACAAAATGTTAAAAACAGCTGAAACTGGGCAATGAATATATTATTCTCTCTTCTATTATGTATGCTTGAACATTTCTACAACAAAAAGTTAAAAGATAGGGGGAATGGCCAAATCATAGAACACTCACAAAATGGAGTGTTATACAGATGTTCGAGTGTGGTAGCTCTATATGTTAACTAACCAGGAAACACGATATAGTGTTAAGTAATATATACTATACAGCATGGGTTAAAATCCTCATCACTGACTTTGTGTGACATTCAAGTTACTCAATCATTCTAAAATCTCAGCTCCCGTATATGCAAATAAAGGATAACATATAATAATACCTATTTCATAGAACTGTTTGTTGTGAGGATTAAATAAAAACAATTTCTATTCAAAAGCTGTGCACAGAATATGGCCCATAGTCAGCATTCAGACAATCAGCCAATTGTATTAGTTTTGAAAAATTACGTTATTTTATTAACCAATGTCACCCCAATAAATTAAATAAAAAAAGAAAATTAAGTTGTAAGAAATATCTATAGTATGATCCCATTTTTGAAAATAAACAAAAGACTACACATACATATATAAGTTTATATAAACATAGTACAAAGCCTAAACAAATATACACCAAATTGTTAACAGGGTTGGGGGTGCATGAGTAGAAGGCATAATTTCTATGAACACTTTTACTTCTTACCTTATACACTTAGGTATTGTTTGTTGGTTTGTTTGTTTATTTATTTATTGGTGGGGAGGGAGAGAGGGAGAGGAAGGGGGAGAGAGGAAGAGAGAAATATTGATGTGAGAGAGAAACATAGATCGATTGCCACCCACATATGCCCCAACCAGGGATTGAACCTGCAACCTGGGCATGTGCCCTGACCAAGAATTCAAACCTGCCACCTTCAGTGCATGGAACAACACTCTAACCACCTGAGCCACACTAGCCAGGGCAGGTATATACTACAAAAGTATATATTACTTTGATAGTTTTAAAACATCCCAGACATGAATTTTTTAATCCTCACCTGAGGATATGTTTTGTTTTGTTTTTTTAAATTAATTTGAGAGACAGAGAAACATCGACGTGAGAAACACTGACTGGTTGCCTCCCGTAAAGGCCCTGACAGGGGATCAAATCCACAACCTAAGTATGTGCCCTGACCAGGAATGGAACCTGTGACCTTTTGATGTATGGGACGATGCTCCAATGAACTGAGCCACCTGGCCAGGGCTCCTATACATGAACTTTTTAAAAAGCTTTGTTTTGGGCTATTTAATACTTTTCATTAAATAGACTAAAAGGTTTGGGGGTTGAATAGTTCTGAGGTTTCTCCTGAATCTGATTTTATAATGTAAAATCAGTAGTTTGCCAACACTGTTGTAGACTTCTTGAAAATCAGTAACACTGAAAAAAGAATGTCAACAAAAGCCAAGTTTGATTAGCACTTATACTGTTTAGCATTAGTATTACTCATGAGGCGAGAGTGGTTCCTATTATATTTGCTGACACATTAAGCATAAAATACTTAATTTTCCTTCTTCAATGGTTTTATATACCAATACCATCTAACTGGAATTTTAGGTTTCTAGTATATATACATAACATTTGGTATGTAAACACAGAAGTTGATACATTGAGAAAACAAAATATATTTAACAAAGAATTGGAATTCACAAAGCATTGTAAATACTTACTTGAAAAATTTTCTTGGTCGACACCATTACTACTTCCCACTATATTACAGAACTGTGTATTTGTTATCAAATTGTGCATTCCAAGAATAGCTATGGAGACAGAAAAAGGAAATTAGTTTTATTTTCATCAGTGTTAAACAGAGAATTTTACAACCCAAAATTTCTATTAATGATTTTAACATTCTCTGGACATTTTTCTACTCAGTTAACTACAGATTTTGCAGCCCAAAAAGGGGAGACAGCATGTTTAAAAATCACCTACAGTCTCCTTCTCATCAATGCCCTTATTATTTTCCCCGTAGTTCTGAATTCAGACACAGCTGGAGCTAGCCTAACCTTAAATGCAAATCTACGATTAGCTCCATCTGGTGGCTAAGAAAAAAACTGACACGATCTACTTTGCTGTTCATCCTTTACACAAGATTTCTAGCAACATAATGTGATAGATGGCAGGTTTTCAACTTAACCTTCACTACTTTACATTTGTTAACTCTCATTCATATTTTAGCTAAGAGTAGAATACTGAAAGTATAGCTGAATTCTCATATTAAGATTAAAGTAGATACCCCAAAAATGACAGGAGAAATTTGGTTTTTGTTTTTGATGCCCTTTTGCATAAATGAGGCAGAAGCTACAGCGTGCCCCTTGTCCATTCCACTCTGATGAATTTACAAATCCATCAATCCTCACCACTCCCAGAAATAACACACCTGCTCTGGCTGTGGCCAACACCTTGATTGTCCTTTTCCTGTGTCCTTCCTAAAGAATCTTCACGATCTTTTCAAACATGTTAGTTCTTGGGATTAAGATCTCCTCACGTGTCCTATTTTTCTATTTAGGAAAATGGCCGTGTGGGGGAGGAGGTGGAGGAGATTCTGGTCTTTATAAGAAACCAGCAATGATGAAAATAACAGGGAGGCTTGGAGTGTTCCATACATACTTCAGAGAAGTTGGGAAAGTGTGAGTATAGCTCAGGGCTGACTGTCTCATCTGCTTTCCAGTTACCCACCTTGGGGTCTTTCTGATAAAATGGGACAGTAGTTGACCCCGGCAACTCTTTCAGTGCTCAGATGGGACGGCTTCTAGCTGAGCGCCAGCTGATGAAACATTTTTATAAAGACTTTCAAAATGGGCAACATGGGAAAAGATGTCAAGTAATACAATTCTATTAACATAAAAATTTCACCATTGAGAGAATTTTTTAAAATGACATTCTTTGCGTCAGCTTTAGAGTAGAAGAAATAAAGCCAAATATGTGGTCACTGATTCAATAGCACTCTGCTAGGCAAAGGATGTACTTGCATAATGAATAGAGGTGTGTGCTAGTACTCCCCTCCCCTTCACATTCATTCACAATGTGTTTCAGGAGGTACCTGCGAGGTCACACAGTTCTGTATCAGAAGCACTTGTCAAAGCTTCTTCTAATTCTGGATCAAGAGAGATTTTTTCTTCTGTAAAAGTCTGGATAGGTTTCTGTTTAGGGATGAATATTTTCCCTGTAAAATAAAGCGGTTTGTTAATTTACTGCTGTTATTAACTCATTATCATTTTACTCTTAACAAAAATTATTAAAAGTATGTGCAATTGAAGCTAAAATAAAGTCAAGATTGACATGTAGTAATTTCATTTCATCTTCAATATGTATTTATAAGCTTCCAGTGACCATTAAAGTTGGAATAAAAAAATCTGAGAAATTTTCCCATTTGTGAAAATATAAATAGGCTCTTTTTGGAGTCATTATGAGTTACTCTACAATTACTGAATCAAAACATAAATGAATAAAGGAATAAACACAAAAATCTATAAAACTTAAAAAAGATTAAAAGAAATTTCACTTTCTTATTTTTAAACAAGAAATCGTTACAGTCCCTCCAGGGATGGCAGAAGCAATTATTCCAGAAATTCAAGTTCTAATTGCAAAGAAATTCCTGTATGTCCTGAGTGGTAGTCTGAAACTTTTTTTAAAAAAAATATATATTTTTATTGATTTTAGAGAGGAAGGGAGAGAGATAGATGGAAACATCAATGATGAGAGAGAATCACTGATAGGCTGCCTCCTGCATGTCCCCTACTGGGGATCAAGCCTGCAACCTAGGCATGTGCCCTTGGCCAGAATCGAACCTGGGACCCTTCAGTCCGCAGGCCAACGCTCTATCCACTGAGCCAAACCGGCTAGGGCTAGTCTGAAACTTTTGATTACTGTGCCTCTAAGGCTCAATGGACACTAACAAGGTTACCTATTAAGAAACTAATTTTTCTAGAAACCTATTTATTATGTGAAAATCAGTATTTTATTACCATCTGTCCAATGAAAGATTAAAACTACGAAGGGACTAGTAAATGACAATGATATACTAGTAGCTGTGGCACAAGCTGACCAAACAAGACGCAGTACTCACACATGGTATGGACTAGGTTACCAAGATTGCCTCTAGTTTCTCTCCCAAGACAGGTGAAAATTCCAACTAAAAGATCTGGAAAGGCCTATGTATGCATTCACAGAAGTGCCAATTATTTTGTTTTCTATCAGGAAACTACCAGGGAAAGATGAGAATATGTGGCCTGATGAATCTATTCAGTGCTCTATCAAAAGGAATGTTGTGGCCTTATAATTAGTGCAGTGAGTTGTGTACTTCTTGCTCAAGGAAAATATCAATTAGTGTGAATAAGGAATCCTTCCATAATATAACTCCCAGGAATCTGGTCAAGGCTGCTCAGGTATTTTCTCTATGCTCATCTAAAGGATCTTAATTTCTGATATTATATTTTTTATTTTTAGCATTTCCATTTGGTTCTTAAAAAAAAAACCCCACAGAAAACAGTTTCCATGTCTCTGCCAAAATTCCTCATCGCTTTATACGTGCAGTGCACCTTGTCCATCAGATTCTTTGGCATTTTTGTCATACTTATTTTAAAGTCCCTGACTGATAACACCAATATTTGGGTCATCTCTGGGTCTTCTATTGACTGTTTACATTCTTTTAAAATATATTTTTTATTGATTTCAGAGAGGAAGGGAAAGGGAGAGAGATAGAAACATCATTGATGAGAATCACTGATAGACTCCTTCCTGCAGAGCCCGCACCAGGGATCTAGCCCAAAACTGGGCATGGAATTGAACTGTGACCTCCTGGTTCATAGGTCGACGCTCAACCACTGCGCCACACGAGCCTGGTGACTGCTTACTTACTTGACTGTGGGTCACCTGTGTCTTAGGTCTTTGTGTGTTGGACAGTTTGTATAAAAGTATAGCAGAGACTGAAAGGAACATGCCGCTAAGGTCAGGGCTGAATCAACATGCTCTGCAGTTGAGCTGAATGTGGACTTTGCTGCAACATTGGTTTGATTCAGTTCCCCATTGGCTTCAAACATTTTGAGAATGGGGTCAGGACTTTCTCTTTGGCAAGGCCGGGGATGAGAACCCTGGTGAGGTTCTGGAGATCTGAGCTTCCTACTTCTTTGAACTGTGGAGTGGGAGAGATTTCTCCCAATGTGTGGCCCAGGCTGCCAGCTTTCTGGGTGACGTGGGGTGTCTTTGTTTTCCAGTCCCACTCCATGCTCTCTGAGCCTTGGCAGATCTTTCAGCCCCACCCTGTCTCATCTGCTCTATAGTTTGTGAAGTTCAGGAGGTCCTGGAAGGGATTCTTTCAACTCTCCTGGCTCTCCCTTCGTCTCCCTGAGCTGGGAATTTTCTCAGCTCTGCTTCATTGCCTCTGTTCTCTGAGTGGTACTCTAGCACTACTAGGGTAGCAAAGAATGGTGGGTAATGCAGTCTCACCCTGTCTCTAGGAATGCACTGTCCACTGTGGCAGCTACTAGTAACATGTGACTACTTTAATTTAAATTAATTCAAACTAAAATTCAGTTCCTCAGCCACGATGGCCACATTTCAGGTGCACAACAGCCACATTTCAAGTGCTTGACAGCCACACTTGGTTAGCACAGACATAGAACATTTCCACCACTGCAGAAAGTTCTAGTGGACAGCGTTGCTGGCACTTTCTGGAGTAATTTAGATTTGTGTCTTCAAGATCTCTGATAGCTTTTTATTTTCATTACTAGAGGCCTGGTGCATGAAATTTGTGCATGGGGCAGGGGGGTCCCTCAGCCTGGCCTGCACCTTCTCCAATCCAGGACCCCTTGGGGGACATCCCTCTCGCAATCTGGGACCGCTGGCTCCTAACCACTTGCCTGCCTGTCTGCCTGCCTACCTGATTGCCCCTAACCACCTCTGCCTGGCAGCCTGATCACCCCCTAACTGCCGGCCTGATCGCTCCCTAACTGCTCCCCTGCCGGCCTGATCACCCCCTAACTGCTCCCCTGCTAGCCTGATCGCCCCTAACCGCCTCTGCCTGCCAGCCTGATCGCCCCCTAACTGCTCTCCCCTGTCAGCCTGATTGCCCCTAACTGCCCGCCCCTGCCAGCCTGATCACCCCTACCGCCTCTGCCTCGGCCCCTGCCACCGTGGCTTTGTCCAAAAGGACGTCCGGAAAATGTCCGGTCTAATTAGCATATTACCCTTTTTTAGTATAGATTATCTTTTAAACTATGATTACCCAGAGTAAACTGTTTATTTTGGTTGTTCGAGTGAGAATAACAAGTCTCTTGCAACTTTCTACATTTGAATTAGAAGTCTTTCTGCTCAAGTATTTTCTTATCTAAAAAATGACACTTGGCCAATCCACAATATATAAGGATGTTTTTAACTGCATGTAACAGAATACCCAATTAGAAGTGGTTTAAACTGGTGATTTTCAAACTTCTCATTCACTTAGTGATCTCATTAAAGTATAGATTCTGATGCAGAGAGTCTGATGTGAGCTCTGAGATTCTGCATTTCTAATCAAAAGTATTTTTATCTCATTTAATAAGTCCACAGGTATGTGGCTGTTCAGCAGCTCAAGCTTGACATCAAAGATTCAGGCTCTTTTCATTTTTCTCTTTGGCTATAACCAGCATGGAGACCTTTGTTCTTAGCCCACCAGTCTCAGGATGATTTTGTAACACTAAGTATCATGTCTTCATGCAACAGGGTCAGGACAGGAAGGAAGGAAGGGCACTTTCTCAACTGTCAACTTCTATAAGAAAAACTGTGTTCTCTTCTAATCTTACCAATCAGCTCTGGGTCACACAACCATGCCTCTGCTGTAAGGATGTTTAGGAAATAAGCATCTGGCACTTTCAGTATATTTCAGAGATGGGTTTGCTAGTAGGGTAGAATGAATGAATGCATTTGTCTCAATACTGAACCAGATGAAGTACAGTTCTGTGCTCCCTTAATTCCCTGAACATTTCACTACAGCTACACTTACACATTTTGCATATCTGTCTGCCTGTGCAAGCTTCTCAATGTTCTGTTCATCCCTGCATCCTTCCCTGGCACACAGCAGGCAATCCGATTGTTGAATCGATAATCTGGTGGTCACCTGCAGTTCAACTAACTACTTTTTAAAAAAATATATATTTTATTGATTTTTTACAGAGAGGAAGGGAGAGGGATAGAGAGTTAGAAACATCAATGAAAGAGAAACATCAATCAGATGCTTCCTGCACACTCCCTACTGTGGATGTGCCCGCAACCAAGGTACATGCCCTTGACTGGAATCAAACCTGGGACCCTTTAGTCCGCAGGCTGACGCTCCATCCACTGAGCCAAACCAGTTAGGGCCTAACTACTTTTTATAAAGTATAATTTAAATATCCTGGTTCAAAGTCACACAGCAGAGTTAACACTTGAACACAGATTCCCAAACTCTCAACACGTTGCTTCTTCTAATACCCTGGTGGCTTTCAAACTTAACTCTAGCAGTAGACTTTTCCCCTCAAGCAAATGTCTATCTATAGGATGGTATACATAATTATCTTAGTACCAAATTTTGGAGTTCTGGTGATTATTGAATAATCTTTTATTATTGACTAGAGGCCCGGTGCACAAAAATTTGTGCACTTGGGGGGCGGGGGGAGGTCCCTCAGCCCGGCCTGTGCCCTCTTGCAGTCTGGGACCCTTGGGGGAATGACCACCTGCTGGCTTAGGCCCACTCCCTGGGGAATTGGGCCTAAGCTGGCAGTCAGACATCCCTTCTGGCAGCCCAGGAGCCCGCGGGGGGCTGTCCACTTGCCAGTGGGGAGCAGGCCTAAGCTGCAGTTGGACATCCTTAGCGCTATTGAGAAGGCGGGAGAGGCTCCCACCGCCACCACTGTACTGGCAGCCATCAGCCTGGCTTGTGGCTGAGCAGAGCTCCCCTGTGGGAGCGCACTGACCACCAGGGGACAGTTCCTGCATTGAGCGTCTGGCCCCTGGTGGTCAGTGTGTGTCATAGTGACCAGTCATTCCCAGTCCTTCTCCTGTTAGGGTCAATTTGCATATTACCCTTTTTTTATATAGGATAGAGGCCTGGTGCATGGGTGGGGGCCGGCTGGTTTGCCCTGAAGGGTGTCCCGGATCAGAGTGGGGGTCCTGCTGGGGTGCCTGGTCAGCCTGGGTGAGGGGCTGATG